TTGGAATTTTGGACTTTTGATTTGGGATTTGAGGGGCCATTTGAGGTCCAATTTTGATGTTCTTGGTATGTATAGATTCCTGAGAGGATGCAGATTCCATTGATGTTTATTTTATTGAATTCCGAGACGTGGGCCTGGGGGCCGGGTTTGAGCAATTTCGGGATATGATGTTAAATTGGATATTTTCGAGAGGACTTGCAATACTTCATATTCAAGTTGGGGTACTTTTATCATTTAATATTACTTAAACTTAAAAAACGAGCTAATTAAATGGGAAAAAGCCCATTGTATAGTGACGACAAACAAAGAAATAAAAGGGAAGGAAAGTCAAATGCAACATAAGCAAAAAACGAAAGAAAGAAAGTGGGAAACGGGTCCGCTTCAGAAAACGCAGAAAAAGGGATTTCAAAAGGAGAAGAAGAAGAAGAAGAAAAAGGCTAGAACCAAACCTTGAGAAATCTTAAATATGCACTAGTTTTTACGGGTAATACTCCAATTTCTCATCTGGGTTCTTTTTTCTGGCAATTCTTTTTATCTCAGTTCATATAGTTGAAGGGTTTCACAAGGTATCAGAAATTAAATAACAAGAAGAATTATTCTGGGCAAAATCATGCAATTGGGAGTTGCTCAAGGTTATTGTAGGATAAATTCACTTGAAAAAAGAAGGGTATTGATGTATTTGTACTTAAACTAGTCTCATTATATATGATCTTTGTTAGGTGTAAATTAAGTTAGGGTGCAAGGATTGAGTTTTGGTGTTTAACTATATTGAAATAAAAATATCGAATTTGGTTGGAATGTGGTAAGTCTAGTATTGAGTACAAAGATAAGTACCCATTAAGAAGGAATATTATGGACAATAAGGGTATTTCAGTTTCAATTTATGCACACGATTTAGGAAATTGAACAGTACAGGGAATAAACCATATAAATATCTTTTTATTTAAAAGATTTTGGACTAATTTAAATCACTCATATGTGGGTAAATATAAATCCACAAATTAAGACTCAAACATGAACCCCAATGATTGGATATTCTAAATTAGCTATGAATTAGCCTAAACATGGAAATTAACATGAGATCGATATTATGTAATTATAGATTGATTGGAGAAATTTGTGTAAATTGCTCGAGGTGAAGCATTTGGTATTTCGGTACGAGTACTGTGAGTAGTAATCTTACAGCAATTTGTGTTTTCATAACCTGCATGGTTTATACCTTATTTTGAAAATAAAATATGTTACAAAATGTTTGAAATTGCATGTGGGACAAGTCCTTCACTTGATATCGTACTGGACAATTTACTTGAGATGTGTTTACCGTTATTTAAATTTTCTCAATATTACTAGACATGTTTTACTATTATTTGAGATATGATTACCGTTACCGAAATTGTATTACATGATTTGATAAGAATTGAAATGCCCTATACTATTTTGAAAATGCTTCCATGTGAATATTTACTATTTACAAAGAAAAGTATAAATGGGAGGAGACTTTGAAGGATCCAGTAGCTAACAGCAAGTTCGTTAGACCTGGTGCACCTTGTATTTACAGATTACCGATTACAGTTATAGCCCTTGCTAGTGGGAAGGTAGAAGTAGCATACAATTACAGTTTTCCCTCGAGTAGGGACCTACAGTTATATTTGACTCCTTTGACGAAGGGGTCCATACAGTGTTATAGATTACACGGTCTTTCCTTGGAAACCTCCCAAACATAAAGATTTGATATGACACAGTGCTTACCAAGTCTATTACCGAATTGTTAAATTGATTCCTATTACAGGAAACATATGATGAGACTGATTATTATTACTGTTTTTTTGAAAGGGCATTTTATTTTTATGATAGTTCCTAATTATTATTATACATGCATGTTTTCTGAAGGACGAGGATTTAGTTAGTCAGACGCACAAGTTGATAATTTCTGGTGAGCCACGTATTTGTTTGCGTGGGCAGAGATTTTATTTATTGTTATGGCCTTTTATTTGAACTCTTAGAGTCACTCTGTCAAATTTTTTTTGTGTCTTAAATATTCTTCGTTATTATAGATTTATGTTGAGTATCGCTCATTCTTATCAAATTTGGAGATAAAGTAGTATTTCTAGTTGTTGGTGGGTGGACTATTAAAGATAGATATTTATTTTGGTTAATTGATAAGGTCATTGTCATTTGAATTGCTATTAGGATGTTTGGTTGCTGATTTGAGACAGGGAAAATTTTGGGATAGTCCAAAAATAGGGAAAACTCTGTCCGATTTTCTCTAAAATACCGATTAGGCTTACTTGGGGGCACTTGGTCCTAGGTGCCGGTCATGATCCTAAATTGGGTCATGACAAAGTTGGTATCAGAGCTTAGGTTATTCTTGTGACTAATGGAGCACACGTCTGTAGTAGAATCTCAATTATGGTTATGTAGCGGGTCATTCCCATAATCGTGATTCTGCGAGAGCGTGATAGGATGTGTCTTGTCTTTCTTTCTTTTTTATTCCACCGTACTGTGTGGCGATTAGGGTCAGATAACTGAATCTATCATTACTTATCCTATTCGTGTATGGCTCGGACCAATTACCCTATAATAGAATTTGGCTAGAGGTTCAAACTTCAAATACGTCAAATTTTGCCAATGGATATGCAGCCATCTCCAAGTAAAGAAATGCTACATAAGTAGTATACAATACCAAGGTTCATTGTGTTGTATGAGATGCTTTCTGGTAAGATGCGTAATAGGGTTCATTTCGAAAATTTATACCAGTCCACTACTACAGCGATAGAGGAGTGCTATCAAAAAAATAAAGAGATCTTTATGGATATAATAGGTAAACATGAGAAGAATGAGCAATAGAATAGGAACTCTAAAGTCCTCATGCACCTAGAAGATTATGGGGAACAACAAAATATTCTTAATAAAGTTCCTAAAGTTGAAACTACTAAGTTTACTATTTCTGATAGTTCAAAGGATCTTTAAAGGTTTTAGTAGAATATTACGATGTTATAAGCTAAGCTATAGTATATTTCATGAAGATGTCTATGGAACAGGCAACTTTTAGACTAGAGAACATGGAGAATACATGAAATGTTATTGTACTCTTAGAGAAGCCAACAAGAGCAACACAACTAATTTGGGAATAATTTCACTAAAGTGTTTATGAATCACTTCCTTCTTGACAATTTGTGACATGAACTTGCCTGCTAGATCATTTAAGAAATTGATTTAGACGTTGGGTATACTTACATATAACACCAAACTTTCTCAGCTGGATATGCAATCAACATCTTATGTTTAGAGGCTTGTTAAAAAGCTGGTTAATTGTTTAAATAAGATAGTAACTGCATATATGAAGACTTGAACCTCTTCTTTAGCAGTTGCATTTACCATAAAGATTGAAAATATCAATATGATAGGTGTGAAAGAACTCACATAAGAAGATCGAGATTAGAATATCTTTTAGTATGGATTTTAATATGAGTTGAAGATTTAAAAATCAAGAATGTTTTGAGATATTAAGTGATCCTTTTCGGGTTGCCACATCTGTGAAAAATTTATAGTAGTTAGACATGTGTTTAAAACTTTTAAGATTCAAGTTAAGAGAAGGAAAATCTAGCTAACCAAGTTGTACTTGATATGCTTGACTTTAACGTACAGATGGATATAGATTAATTATATTCTTACCCTGCTACCCTTGATTACTATGGAAAGACTATTAGGTTTGGTGACCTTTAAACGCTGGTTTTGTTCAAAAAAGGGGATTATAGTTTTTAGAGACTAGCAAATTATATATTTTGAAGACTTAACGATTATAGAAGAAAGGTTGTTTGGATCTCATAGATACGGTAAGGGGCACAAGAGAAGAAACACTTAGTTTGAGAAAAAAAAGTATCATAATGAGAGATTCTCCAATGTATTCCCAAAGAAAAAAATAAAATAAAATTCAAAGACATTATTGGCTATTGGTCAAGCCCGATGTAGAGTGTATAAAGGCTAGCCAATACGAGGATGAATGATTGTTTAATTACCGAGATTAATTTTTAGCTGGTAAAAGCAAGGATATGAATATTAATAGTGAGGGTATTGTACGACTAGGTAACTAATTATGTATAGCAAACATATATGGGTTGAGACAAACTATTCGTGATGGAGCTTACAACTCTAGATACACTATATATCTCAGGTCTATAAGATGCACCATGACTATAAAAAAATTGATTGTTTGGAAAAGAAAGCAGAAAAAAAAATCGTTAACTTTGTTTCTAACTATTTGGCATGTCAGTATGTTAACACAAGCACGTGAGACTCACAGGCCTCTAAAATAACTCAAGAATCTGAAGTGAAAATACAATAGAACAGTACATTATATGACTAAATTACTCAAACTATTAGAGGTATCATTATATGTGGGAAAGTTGTAAATTGGCTTACCAAGTAGGCATGTTTCTTGCTAGTCAAAACCTCTTATAGTGAAGTAAAATATGCATATATATACATGAACAAAAAATTATATGACTCAATAGAGCTCTAGTGTTCATCAACCCTAATAGAGGATCACATTCACTTCACAATTTGAAAACCTTTTCAAGAAATGTTGGATACATGAGTGGATCTTAGTACTAGTTTTATTGCACGCAAACACAAAGTCCGAATGTGCTATACAGATCTTGGAGGATATGTTGAGAGATTTTATTCTTGAGTTTGGAGATAGTTGGGACGCTTATCTACCTTTAGATGAATTTGCTTACAACAATAGCTTCTAGTCTAGTATTCAAATAGCACCGTATGAAGTATTGCATGGTAGAAGATGTCGTTCTCCTATCAGATGGTTTGAAGCTGGTGAAACTAACTTATTGGGACTCTACCTAGTACAAGAAGTTATAGACAAGGTCCAGTTGATCAGAAAGAGATTGCTTGCAGCTCAAAGTAGACAAAAGTCTTATGCTGATAAGAGAAGAAGAGATTTAGTGTTCACAATTGGGGACAAAGTGTTCCTACAAGTCTCCCCTATGAAAGGTGTGATACGGTTTGGGAAAAGAGGCAGGTTGAGCCCCAGATTTATAGGACCGGATAAGATAATAGACCGAGTAGGAGTTGTGGCTTATCGTTTTGCACTTCCTCCTGAGTTGACCGTTATTTATCCAATTTTTCATGTCTCAATGCTGAGGAAATGTATATCAGACTCATCTCAGGTGATTGAGGCCCCTGCTATACCGCTTGATGAGAAGTTGTCTTACAAGGAGGAGCCGATGGCTATTATTGATAGACAAATAAGAAAACTATGGTCAAAAGAAACTGTGTTCGTGAAAGTCTTATGGAGAAATCACACTATTGAAGAAGCTACATTGAAATAGAAGATACTATGCGAGTCAAGTATCATCATTTATTTCAGTCTACAAGTATGTACTTATACTAAATTCGGGGACCGAATTTCATAAGATGGGGAGAATTTAATACTTCATATTCAAGTTGGGGTACTTTTGTCATTTAATGTTACTTAAACATAAAAAAAAACTAGCTAATTAAATGGGCAAAAGACCATTGTACAGTGACGGCAAATAAAGAAATAAAAGGGAAAGAAAGTCAAATGTAACATAAGCAAAAAACAAAAGAAAGAAAGGGGGAAACGGGTCCGCTTCAGAAAATGCAGAAAAAGGGATTTCAAAAGGAGAAGAAGAAGAAGATGAAAAAGGCTGGAACCAAACCTTGAGAAATCTTAAATACGCACTGGTGTTTACGGGTAATACTCAAATTTCTCATCTGGGTTCTTTTTTCTGGTAATTCTTTTTATCTCAGTTCATATATTTGAAGGGTTTCACAAGGTATAAGAAATTAAATACCACGAAGAATTATTCTGGGCAAATCATGCAATTGGAAGTTGGTCAAGGTTACTGTAGGATAACTTCACTTGGAAAAAGAAGGGTATTGATGTATTTGTACTTAAACTAGCCTAATTATATATGATCTTTGTTAGGTGTAAATTAAGTTAGGGTGCAAGGATTGAGTTTTGGTGTTTAACTATATTGTAATAAAAGTATCGAATTTGGGTTGGAATGTGGTAAGTCCAGTATTGAGTACAAAGATAAGTACCAATTAATAAGGTATATGATGGACAATAAGGGTATTTCAGTTTAAATTTATGCACATGATTTAGGAAATTGAACAGTACAGGGAATAAACCATATAAATACACTTTTATTTAAAAGATTTTGGACTAATTTAAATCAATCATATGTGGATAAATAAAAATCCACAAATTAAGACTTAAACATGAACCCCAATGATTGGGTATTCTAAATTAGCTATGAATTGGCCTAAACATGGAAATTAACATGAGATCGATATTATGTAATTATAGATTGATTGGAGGAATTTGTGCGAATTGCTCCAGGTGAAGTATTTTGTATTTCGGCACGAGTACTGTGAGTAGTAATCTTACTACAATTTTTGTTTTCATAACCTGCATGGTTTATACCTTATTTTGAAAATAAAATATGTTACATAATGTTTGAAATTGCATGTGGGACAAGTCCTTTACTTGATATGGTACTGAACAGTTTGCTTGAGATGTTTACCGTTATTTAAAATGTTCTCACTATTACTAGACATGTTTTACTGTTATTTGAGATATGATTACTGTTACCGAAATTGGATTACAATATTTGATAAGAATTGAAATCCCCTATACTATTTTGAAAATGCTTCCATATGAATATTTACTGTTTACAAAGAAAAGTATAAATAGGAGGAGACTTTGAAGGATCCCGTAGCTAACGGCATGTTCGTTAGACCTGGTGCACCTTGTATTTACAGATTACCGATTACAGTTATAGCCCTCGCTATTGGGAAGGTAGAAGTAGCATACAGTTACAGTTTTCCCTCGAGTAGGGACCTACAGTTATATTTGACTCCTTTGACCAAGGGGTCCATACAGTGTTAGAAATTACATGATCTTTCCTTGGAAACCTCCCAAACATAAATATTTAATATGACACAGTGCTTACCGAGTATATTACTGAATTGTTAAATTGATTCCTATTACAGGAAACACATGATGAGACTGATTATTATTACTATTTTTTTTGAAAGGGCATTTTATTTTTATGATAGTTCCTAATTATTATTATACAGGCATGTTTTCTGACTTGTCCCCAATTAAAAACGGTTGTGGTTCAATACTATTACTCACTGAGCTAGCGACTCACTGCCCGCTATTTTTTTCCAGAGATAACAGTTGAAGGGCGAGGATTTCATTAGTCAGACGCACAAGTTGATAATTTCTGGTGAGCCCCGCATTTGTTCGCGTGGGCGAAGATTTTATTTATTGTTACAGTATTTTCTTTGAACTCTTAGAGTCGCTCCATAGTCAAATTTTTTTAGTGTCCTGAGTATTCTTCGTTATTATAGATTTATGTTGAGTATCGCTCATTCTTATCAAATTTTGAGATAAAGTAGTATTTCTAGTTGTTGCTGGGTGGACTATTAAAGGTAGATATTTATTTTGGTTAATTGATAAGGTCATTGTCATTTGAATTGCTATTAGGATGTTTGGTTGCTGATTTGAGACAGGGAAAATTTTGGGATAGTCCAAAAACAGGGGAAACTCTGTCCGATTTTCTCTAAAATACCGATGAGGCTTACTTGGGGGCACTTGTTCCTAGGTGCCAGTGATGATCCTAAATTGGGTCATGACAGGGCTTTGTTCCCTTAGCATATTTTAATGATTATGCACTGATTGTGGCTAGATTTGGAGCATCCGAAGGTCGATTCATGCGGGCGAGGCATCACGGGCTAGAGTTTGGACCGGATCGATGTAAGTAATGATTGTAAATACTGTCCTGAGGTTTGAAACCCTGGATTACACATCGATGTGCTATTTTGAGGTGACGCACACACTAGACGACGAGCGTTGAGTTGTGTACCGTTGGGGATTGTGACTTGGTCCGTCCCGTACGATTGTTAAGTCGCGTATTTGATTTGAAATCTTATGATATTCCATGTTCTAGAGATTGATATTATATTTTGGGTTGTATGCCATGTTGGGGGACTTGTGCCGACCTGTTGAGACCCTTAGGAGCATTTTTACTATTTTTCCTCACTCTATTTGTTTTAAAGCATATCCTCAGGCATGTTTTACATGTTTATTGTTTAAATCTGGCTTTATCACTATATTCTTAAAAATGTGAAAACTATTTAGGCTGAGTTCCCTATTTTACTGATGGTCCGAGTGATCATGAGTTGATGATTGAGATAGACCGAGGGTCTGATTGTGACATTGATGACTGAGATAGACTACTAACTGAGAGTCTGATGGTGAGGTCAATGACTGAAAGAGGCCGAGGGCCTGGTTGTGAGGATTATATATCTATGGATCGGGCTTCACACCGCAATAATATATATATGGATCGGGTTGCACGCTGCAGCGATACTTATATGGTTCGGGCTGCACGCCGTAGCGATATGTTGGATCAGGCCGTGCGCCGCAGCGATATAGCACTTGGGCTGTAAGAGCCCCTCCGGAGTCTTCATACCCCCAGTGAGTGCAGTCGACTATATATATGGATCGGGCTGCACGCTGCAGCGATATATGGATCAGGCTACACGCTGTAGTGGTTACTATATGGTACTTATTGAGTGTGAGTGCTGAGCGTGAGTGCTGCTGATGAGAGTTGAGTCTCGAGTGACTGAGAGGGTTGCCCGAGGGGCCGTATACATATATGAGTGATGCTTTGCCCGAGGGGCTTGTTTTGATGTAATTGTTGTTTTCACTCCTCTTTATACTGAACCTCTATTAAAAATGTTGAACAAATGTTTTTAAAAAACTTTCACTTAAGCTGAAGTTTTTATAAGATATTCGGTATTTAATCACTGATTTGGATTTGTTATTTCCACTATGATTTTTACGTTATGAGGTGTTATGATTCCTGTTTTGCCCGAGGGGATGTTTACGAATTATATTTTGCCTGAGGGGCCGATTATGGTTTTCATGTCTTTTATTATAAATGGTATCGAACCCCTACTGAAACTGTTGGAAGGTAATTTAAACTATTTTTACTGGAAGCCGGATTTTAAACGAGACAATTGACTCGTATTCTGATTTGAAAGCCTGTTGTGATTATTGAGTTTAACATAAATGTGTATCTATTATTTCCTATTGCTCAGTGTTTATTTACTCTTATTACTTACTAGGTTGAAGTACTCACATTACTCACTGCACCTCGTGTGTAGATTCAGGTATTTTGGAACCCGATAGCGGGTGTTGGTTGCTCAGACGTGGAGTCATCAGAGTTAGCAAGGTGATTACACGACGTTTGTAGCACCGCTTCCTTCCTCTCATTTTCATTATTATATTTAGTACATTTTTAGACTCTTGTTGTATTCAGATCCTGGTAGATGCTCATGACTAGTGACACCCCGATGTCGGGCTTGTGTAATTATTCCGCAATTTTCTTTTAAATTTTCATTATGAGATTATTGGTTTATAAATGGTATAAAAACAGCTTTAATTGGAAAATGGTTGATTCGGGAGTTGCGTCGGCTGGCCTAGTTTCGCGATAGGAATCATCACAACCGGGTCGATTTTGGGTCATGACAAGTTGGTATCAGAACCTAGGTTACATAGGTCTCACAAGTCATGAGCAGGTTTAGTGGAGTCTCACAGATCGGTACAGAGACGTCTATATTTATCCTCGAGAGGCTGCTAAACCTTTAGGAAAAACTTCACATTCTTGAATTCTTATCATGCATCATTGATTCAGCTCGAAATGTAACTCTTTGAAATTCCTTCCATGCATTCGTATGCGTGCATGAGCGCTCAGTATCAGATGTGCCTCGATGGCTTGTGATTCCTTGATCGACGGGAGAGATGTGATCTTTGTGAGTTGATGTTGGGCCAGTCTGGAGGTCTTGAGGTCGGATCTTTGCCTATAGCTTGAGCACCGAGGTGCTGATTGTGTGAGCAAGTGTTCTTGAACTTATATGTTCGGTAGTGTCCCTATTAGTGGGAGTGACAGTTGGATAACTATGTGATAAGTATGGTAGCACTCCGAGAGGTATCCATATGATTTGGAGGCGACGAGAAGGGTTTGCTAGAGGATAGAAGAACTATTAGGTGCTTGAATTCCATCTTGATTCGAGGTATAGCCCCGAGTTATGGGCGTGTGAAGAATCTTTTTATGTTCCCCAGTTGTAAGTGAAGTAGATTTCATGTTGCGGTATGCGTTCAAACTCTAGAAGACTAAGTGACTGCGTACAGTTTATGATGGTGGAAGGTATACAGGAATGTTAGTTGGAGGCAAAGCAGGTGGGTTATCTCCTACGGAGTGTTCTGAGGTTGTGTGATCCCTATGTTGTCTATTAGAAGATCTAATTTTCAAGTGAATTATATGTGTTGAAATTTAAATTTGGGTCGCTTAAGAGAGTGGGCTTAACTGTTGCGAGAGTGAATGTGAGATTTGCAGATGATCTATGTTTTCACAAGCTTATAAAAGATTTGAGTTTAATCTCACTATGGTATTATAGCATCAATAAAGTATAAGTGTTATGATTTATTAAGTGTATTTTGATCTATGACTTCGAGCCAAGTAGGGGAGTCTGCTGTTGATTAGTTGATTGCACGGCTAGGTGTTATGTCGGTTCTAGTTTGAGGCGTTCGGGTAAATCGATTATGGCCCGCGGAGATTGAGATCGAGGATGGTTTGAGTAAAGGAAATTTTTTAACAAAGGTTAAGATGCTCCACGAGTGTATGAGAATCACGAGATGTCTTGAGTCGTTGTTGGTCAAAGATGCTCGGTGCGTAGAGTAGGAAGTTACTTGGTTGTAATGGAATGATGTCACCTTCCGCTGTGTTAGAGTGCTAATGAGGCACGAGTGTTTCTATTCGTTTGATCAGCTAATTGCAGTTTGAATATAGTGAATGACTCTCGAGAATGGTTCTAATGTGTTCGAGATTCTACATGTAACAATTGGGTATTTTAAAGTTGTATATGTGATTAGAAATGGAGTTTTCATTGGAAGATGTCGAGACTTGTGGTATTTTCTATATTAGGTATAGGATTCTATGTATCAGTATCAAGAAAGTAAAGCTAACGGATTTAGATTCACAGGAAGTTTCCTCAGAGTAAAGTATTTTGAATCTGGTGCTTTTGGGAATATTTAAGAGAGTATTCAGCGGCTTATGAGTCTTAGACAGTGTGGTTTATGCTTGGGTCTCGTGTGGTAATCCTGGGTTGAGGAATTTTGGTGCTACATCAAGAGGGAATATCAAGTTGAAGATGAATCAGAAGGAAATTAGATAGATGGGATAGTTTGATAGTAGACTGGACCGATATGGTATGGATATTCTTAGTTCCTTATGGGTGTTCAAGGTAATGAGTTCTTACAGGTATTTTACGGCAATGCTCTTAGGTTTTGATGGCTTGCTTAGCTTGGTCGAGTTAGAAGGATTCAGTCATGGCAGGTCTGATTTGTGCAAGGGGAAACTTAGAAAGTTCTTGACTTGTTGGGTACATAAATGTTTGTGGCTCGGAAGGAGGATGAAGTTCTCATGTTATCCTAGGATGGTGTGGTACATGCGGTATATTGTGGAGAATTGAGAATTGCGTGTGTAAGGTTACAGTTCAGTTCTGAGCGAAAAGTCATAAAATTCTTAGGCAGCACGGGCAATTTCAGATGATTAAGGGAATGATCTTCAGATGATTAAGGAAATGGTATTGCTAATTGGAGTGATTTGACGAGGGTATATGTTTCAGAAAAGGCAATGTGATTAAGTTGATGGTACCTCGGTAGTATTATCGCACCTTCTTGTTAGATGGACTGCTGGTTGAGTCATGTATCATATGGATTTGGAGACAGGGAAGTTCTAACATTCATGCTATGTTGTAATTGTGAGTCGTGTGTATCGGCACTGTTAGTGACTATCGGGGTTTGGAGACCCGAGTGGATCTTTCGTATTTGGTATGATAGATTTTGGATGTGATATTGGGTTCAGACTAGTTGTCTCTGTGCGGTGTCATTCTGGGCTATTGCACTAAGGCGACACTGTGGGCTATGCCGGAAATGCCACAGATTGAGTGGCAAGGTTCGACAGATTATGTCCTATTGAAGTGGTTTTATATTTTGAAGAACCAGCGGACGGCTGGGAAGGATTGTCTTTCTTAATTGGGCTTTCGTGATAGATGTTAGTGCAAAGGCTCCTACCTATTAATTTGATGTCGGGCACCGTATCATATGGCACCGGCAGATTTAAAGGGGTTGAAGGAGCAGCTTCATGGTTTCCTTGATAAGGAGTTCATTGGCAGGCAAATGTGGATGCGTGTCTTAACCTGAGTTGACTTGGTTAACACCAATTGTATTGTATTGTTGATGGATGTGTTGATTCGATTGTTATTGAGCTTATTAGTAATCTGGGAAGATCTATGAGTTACCTTTTTGTGTTTCTCGGTGAATGGCGTATCGGTTTATGTCCTTTTAGTTTTGTGTGGTGTATGTTATTTGCTTTACCATGGGTATGATGATTTTCTTTGGTTCCAGACATAAAATTGGGCGTGGTTGTCGATTTCGAGCATAGTGACTTGAGGTGTTTCATGTGGAGCGGTGCTTGAATATGTAGAGGTATGACCTTGCGGGTTAGGTGCGTGTGTTCTGTTCCTATGATGTGAGACGGGTTCTCAGCCTTGTGTTGTGATGGTACTAGTGAGCTTGAGGTACAACTCTTTCATTTAAGTCATTTTCATGATTTGAGTATGTTCGGACTGTTGCGTATTGGTGCATGTATTGCGC